TAAAATACGATACCATATTCACATTACTGTTCGTTTAGGCAATAATTGCCCTCTTTCATTCCCTCGGAATAACGGAATGAATACGAATATGTTTTAACTTATAGCCATAGAATCAATAACAAGAATAAGGAGTTGGTCTGATCGCTTTGGATTATGATAACAAAAACTCAACTAGAAGTTGAAACATAATATATTCACTTACAACAAAACCTGAAAAATGTTTGCTAGATATATAATAACAATGAAAAACGCACAAAAAAATGCTTTACTTTGTACCTATGAATTAAATTAATTAATGTCAATAACTATTTTACCAGCTGAGTGGAAAAAGGATAAATTATATAAGAAATATACAGTTTTCTTTAATTATCCAAAAGTTGGGCGTTGCGGAATATTATCTTTTTTCCACTCGGCTGTTAATTTATTAACATGGATATAGCTTTTTTAAACAAAGAAGATTTGCGTCATCGTCAGCATTTTGGATGGGAACTAAATAATGGGTCGACGGAAATGTTGAAACCCCGTTGCAGCTCAAAAACATATCCATGCTTCAATATTATTCCGTGAAGAGGAGACATTTCTTTATATTAATTATTGACACAGTCATTAATTTGCACATCATACCGACTCATGATAATGTCCCAGTCCCATTTTTTAAAAATAAAATACTAATATTCACACCATTTTATGCGCTAGATTTAAATTTTAAAACTATTTCTCAGAAATATACATGTAGCGATGATACAAGCATGTTTGCATTAAACTAAATATTATATTGTGAATGTGAAAGAATAACTGGTATCTAAATAACAGTAAAGGAAAAAATCATGAGGTGGAGCAAATGCCGGTAAAATGAAGTAAAAACTAATTTTTTTTAGAAAAATAATGCAAAAACTTATACTATTGTAAACATACAAAGCTACTGATGAAACGACGGCTGGTTTCTCGATTAATCTAATCTAGTTGCTTTTGTATGATATAACATTGGTTGAGGCCTTCTTAAACAACTCAACTAGATCCCTCGATGGTTTTCTTGTGCTTTAATCGGAATGCGTCTTTTTCGTTGTAAACGCGCACCATGCCGTTTTCAAAAACCAAATGGTACTCCGTGGCTGTTGCGCTTTCCTGAGCACGAGTCTTCATCGTCACGTAAGACGATACCGCGTTATCACCTCTTAAATCCTGAGACCGTGGAGCTGAATCGACCGACATTTTTGGTCTATCCAAGTCGATAGCCATTTGGTTCACAGCAGAGTCTTGGTCATCTGCGAGTCCTACACGTTTTAAATACAATAATAATTACTGATATGTAATTGACTGGCATAATTAATAGTTCAGCAAATATGGTGGTTAAGGGTTTTTTTTTACCTTGGAGCTCAGGCATTATTTCGTACTGAAAACCATAAATTTGACGATGGTTAAACGTCTGGAAACAAGTTAGGACTATAACAAATTTAACGACAAACATGTTAGCCATAGTTGTGTGTAAAAAATAGGCAAAAACTGAACGAAATCGAAATCTAAATTCAACCAATGCTTGTTAAATAATACAGTATTGTGTCCAAGCAACATTGACATAACGAAAATTTGGAAAACTAGAGTAGCCAGTAAGTAGATACAGTGGGATTAAAGCTTAATGCGATCAAGAAAGATCATATATTTGTAGATATTACTATTAACGAACAGGATAAAAAAATTAACTATTACAGATCTCTTATTTTTTTCTTAATAAACTTGGAATAGTCATCTAAAAATTTTACAAATAACATTTGTGAATTGGGAAATTTGATATCATTTATGAATAAATTAAATAAGAGCGGCGCAATATGATATCTCTGAGGAACCCAGAGGTCACTTTAAAATAACATGAACAAGCCTTTTTTATTTAACAAATTGCTTCCTATTTGATATAAAAGAGAATAATCATGAAAAAAAATGGTTTTGAAAACCTAGACAATGTAATTTAACAGCAAGAATATTATGGTCGATTGTGTCAAACCCTTTTGAAAAATACGTTAACACAACGTCAACCTGGTGGCCAGATTTTAATGCACCCAAGATATAATGTTGGAATACTAGAAGATTAGTGGCTGTAGAATATAGATCTACCAGTTATTAAGCCGTGTTGTTCATCTGCAACACTGTTTTTTTTAAATAATGGGATAATTATTTTAGACAGAATACTTTTGAATATTTCTGGAATTATTGAAATTAGATGATAGTTTGTTATTTGGCTGATATCATTGCCCTTGGAAATTGGTGATACCTAGCTACCTTTCATTGATCTAGAAAGATACCTGATGATAAAGACTTATAAAATAGGAGTAGTAAGGGAATAGCTAGGATACATTTACATTTAGTAAAAAGTATAGTTGATATTTTATCTGGGCCAGCACATTTTTTTACATTTAAGCAATCCAATTCTTTATAAATATAATTTAAGTTCAAGACACACGCATTAAAAACAATAGTGAACAAATTAAAATTATCCGGTTTATATTGCTGAGTAGTCGGTTGTTTAAACACACCACACAATTTGTGTGTACAATATTTTTTGTAGAAAAATAATGAGCAAGAGTTAGAAATTTCTTCTTTACTGGTATAAGTTAAATTGTTATTCGACGTAGATGTAATCTTCCGATGATATAGTACCTATAGACCAGCTCACGAAAACTGAACGTTCAGGGCCGATGGGCTGCGGCCAAATATTGTCGATGCCAGTGGTTCTCCGTAATGTACGTATTATTGTTGTTGTCAGCTGTTGGATAGAGTCAGCTGTTATGATAAAATATACACACTAAATATATTTTTATTAATTGTTTTTAATTGCCATATTCATAACACGTAACGTAGTGCACGAGACAAAATAATAAAATATATACATTTAAATATTTCAAAAAGCTCGCCAATTATGTTGATACCCACTAATGGCAATTTGCCACTGGTAGGGCTGTTGTCAACGTTTAGTTTTCGTGAGCCGAACGTCATTTCGGTGGGGAATGGAAAGGAAGCGTTCTAGAGGAGGACAGAACTCATCGTTAATATGTATTTTTACAGGTTATAATTAAAGAAATTGTAACAGGCTTTAGACACAATTTAAAAAACTTCCCTTATTTTTTGACACGTCTATAGCTTCCCTTAAATTTAATACCTGATAGTTTTTCACAGTTTTTAATAATTTAACGGGATTTATATTATGATTGGTACCAAGTGCATGTTCAGCAACTAGTTTGCTTTACATTTCTAGGCATTATTATGTTGTTACCTAAACATTCACTTTGATATAGATTTGTGGCGGTCGGACGTTCTAGAGAACCCGGGATGGTATATAAGTCTGAAGCGGCTTCGCCCTCGACACAGTTGAGTTTCGGATTTCCGTTAGCGAAGTTGTTCTCTTGTGTGCACTTTATAATATATATGTAATATATTTTTGTACCTTACAGTTATTACTTTTGTATAATTATTTATTACTTAAAGTAATAAACGTCATTACTCATTAAGCATACGAGTTGGTTAATTATAAATTTAATTGCCACAGATTTTTACAACGGCATTTCGTATTTATAAATAAATAAAAATTGTATGAACGAAAATAATTTACTACCTAAATGCAATAACTGATAAAATAATAATATTGTTATTAAACAATGCTATTTAAAATAACTTAGATTAGAGAGCCTTGATAGAGAGAGTGTGGCCATCACAGATATCTATATTATACTAGGTATAATATATTATATATTATAAGGTACTCTCGTTATCGTGTGAAGCCTACAAAATAGTAACAATGCGTTATCACTAATTAGTTTAGTGACTTGTTTCTTTTTGATTTTTAATATTTCTGTGCTCTTTAACTGTACGCCAATATTTCTTCTGTTTTATCCTACATAACATTTAGACCAATCATTACATTTAATTTGATAAATTTCCGACTTTTCTTGTTCACTTATTTTGTCCTTTGTATTTCCTAAAAGGTCCTGAAAATTGTTTTTATTGATGAGACTAACTGTATTCCGTATTAAAAAAAAAAAAATTGACATATTATTTGAAATTCCTGGGAAATGTAACATAACTGATCCTTTTGTATTTTGTTTATTTTCTTGTTCCAATGTGCTTATTGTTCTGATTTCTTTTGACCATTTATGTTTGTTTGATTATTTTAAAACAACATTTTTATCATAGTTGTTAAATATGGCTATTTTATTAATAATAATAGCTTCTTTTTTTAAATCAGGTTCATTCATAGGAATATTTACCAATACGGAAAACATTATACAGTTAAATGATGTAAATTTGTGCTGTCAGGAGTAATTTGAAGTATACCTGAAGGTGTGTGTGTTTATTTTCTATAGATTTCATATTTTATTTTATTATCTACTCTTTTAAATAATGGATCTAAGAATAGTAGTTTCCCATCTCTTTCCATTTCATATGCGAATTTGATTGAGAATTTAATTTGTCAAAAAAATGTCCGCTATTATGTGGTGTCCATTAGGGGTAGACCTGTCCTAGGCCTTTGTTTACAAGAGTGGTCGAAGGTGTTTATTTTATATGTAAAGAAGTCAAAATAAAGTCTATTTATATTTTAAGTTTAATACACAATTAATGTAAACAATTTTAGAACATAGAATGATGCTGGTTTGTTCGTCATGATGGTGATGTAGGATTAACACAAGCCAAAATACATCTCCCCTCATCGTGGTGATGTTAATAGGACTTCGAACTAAAAAATCTGCCAACTGGTGGTAAAGTGCTGCTGTTTATATTGGCATCGACACGGATGTGGTAGAATGTTCACACGGACAATCTGGAAACAGGTCGTCCTTCTCTTGCACAAATATCTATGGTATAGGTTTTTAATACATTTGAAAAAATATTCAATTTATATTAGTTAACAATTATTACGACATAAAAGGTCGTCAGGTCATATACAAGTTTTTATAAACACACACAAGTAATTCCGTTTTAGTATGCACTTTATTATAATTTAGTTGAGTTCATTATATGGTGTATGATCCCAATTTGTTATTGGTTATTATTTCCTGGTAACATTTGGCCATATGTTTCAGCTGAATGTACTTCATATTGTTGCACGCGCAAGCCAAGTTCATCCACTTGTGGTCGCAATGGCATCTGGAGGTCTCAATTTCCTTGTTGTTGTTATGCACGTGTGCCAAGTAGTACTCGATGTCGTTCCATTCGAGACCGTGATTGTACTGTTTACGCACATTGCACATAGGAAACATGTTAGAATTAGCTGCATGTACTTATAGATAAAACTGATAATTAACTATTTAAAAAAATCTGTCTTAGCGAGTTTTTTTTTTAACTAACTTAGTTACTTACAATAACTTAATAATATAGTCTCAATCTTAAAGAAGTAATTGTACATAAATATTTCTCTAGTATTAAAAATAATTTGGTATACTTTAGTATTTACTTTAAATAATCATTTAAACCTTAACTGTCGAAATTCTCTATATATCTAGGCATTTCTAAAATGTATTTTATTCAACTATTGTATATTAAACTAATGTTTGAACGGCTAAAACTATCTAAAGTACATTTCCAGTACACTTACTCTGACCATGTACTTATACTTCTTGTAAGTGTCAATGTCACACCTTGTCAATCCAGTCAGTTTTTCAGTTATTCTAAGAGCCCCTTCGATAGGACATTCGTCTGTTTTCAAACAACCTGCAGACAATAATATTAAAAAGTGACTGCAACGCTAAAAATATTTGACTATTACTTTGTGGAGTTATCAAACCCTAAAAGCTTTTACGTTTTTTTTACGCTCCGTAGGGTTATGATAACATTCACGATAAAAGTTACTAGGGTCAGTCCACCGCACATGGCAGTCAACATTAATTTTTTTTTATTGAGATTTTGCATAAACAAATAAAAATAGTCAATATTAATTTGTCATATTGAGGTTCAAAAACCGTATGTATAAAAGTAGCCGACCGTTTGGTGTGAATATTATCATTAAAAATTATTAAGAATCGTTCTATGTTAATCACCTTTTGGAGGAACCCAGTATCTTGCTGATGGTGTCACGTCGTTTGTCTGCAACAACAGAAATTCGACGGCATTCGCCGAAAGTCTACGAAACAAAAACAAACCGGCTTGGCTTACCGAACTTATTGTGGTGGACATGGTGTAAGAATTTAATGTAAGTGTTGTAGCAGTAAACAAATGTACGTAGCGATGTACATTTGTTTTTTATTACGTTTGTGTAGGCTGGCAACGTGACAATCAAGAACAAATTTATAGGCTAACACTAAGTTTTATCCAGACAATACAAAATGTACAGCTATACGGTCAAGTATGTATTGTATACTAGTATGTAATTGGATATTACAATATATTTGGAAAGTCCCAGTCAATCGAATTCTACAGGTTAAAAAATATCATGCTTATCGACGGGTTGTTTATAAATTGATAATTATAAGGTTCCTCCAAGTTAACAGGTAGACTGGTTAGGTTCTAAGAACAGCAGCAATGCCGAATAATTCTAATATAAATAATGTTAGTATTATTATATAGGTATAGGTACTTCGATATTGGGGTCTATGGCTTTTTCCATGACATTTAATGTAACAAACAATTCTATCGTAAATAAAAACATGCTTTTCTAAAAAAAAAAAAATAGTAAAAAGTGAACTAAAAAGTAAAAAATAATTTTATTACAAGAACAATTTACCAATCAATTGTAGCATATTTGATTTAAAATGTCAATTACTTTGAAAACAACCCAAAATTAACTAAAATTGTAAATAATGTTAAACATCTTTAATTTTTTACTAAAAAGAAAAGCGTGGGCCCTATTCAACAAAGTCCAAATTCATTAATTTAAGTATTATGAAATGTATGTGTCACACACAAATATTAAACTAAATTTAAATTACAAAAGAACTTACAATATAAAACATTATTTGATAAATTTAATAGGGACTTTGTTGATTAGAGCCCACGCTTTTCGTTTTATTCAAAATTTAAAGATTTTTAATATTATTTAAAATTTTAGTTAATTTTCGGTTGCTTTCAGAGTAAATAACATTTTAAATCAAATATGCTACAATTGATTGGTAAATTGTTCTTGTAATAAAATTATTTTTTACTTTTTACTATTTTTTTTTTTTAGAAAAGCATTTTTTCTTTTAAGTTTTTTTTTAATTTAATTTTTTTACTTTTTAGTTCTATTAAAAATATTTAATAATTGCTGAATAGATAACTAAATTAATTTTGAAGATTTGGAAAAAAATGAAAAAAGTTTATCAGCCGAGTCTGCAATCACGAAAGAGCATTTTCATGTCTCGTTGAAGTACCGAATACATATAGATTAGTTGTGGAATTATAATTAAAAAAAAAAAAATTACATGGACCTTCCAGCATAAGCCAAGGAGATTAAAAAATTATGTACAATCATGTTTCTGGCTGAAATTGTAGTGTTTATTATCTGGCCAAAAGTAACTTGACATAGAGAATTTAACTATTTTGAATTTATTATTTAGTTCTAATTTGAACGTTGAACGTACAACATATCTCTTATCTACTATATCTTACCCCTATCCCCTACCCACTACCTCCCGCCCCTATCTCTCACCCTATCCCTACTCCCTAATTTCTCACCCCTATCTCCTGCCCCCTGTCTCCCACCCCCAACGTCATCGTCATCCCCATTTCTTTTTAGGTAACGCTTTTTGGCAACGCTTTTTAGTAACGCTTTTTCGGTTATATGCCAGAGCTAAGACATGAAAATGTCAAAAAGAAATTTTAGTGAAATAACCCTCACATTTGACCCTGTGTAGGGCGACCTGGATTTCCGGTCCCAATATGATTACAGGATATTGTATTGTCATATAAGATGAGTGTCTGTGCCAAGTTTCAGCCCTATACGACATTGGAAAGTGGGTTAAATTAATTTTGCAAGATTTGAAAAATACCCGTACAAATGTACGTACGTACGTGTTAGCGAGCTAAAGAAAATCATGTAAAAAAATACTACTTTTGAAATCATTAGCTTACACTAAGTTTTAAACATTATCACTTTTACATGTCTATTTATAATTAATAAAATTATTGGCGAATTGTTTTGATTTTTTTTTTTTCAATGGTTTTTTTAACATTAAATTCAGTGTCTCTATTTCAATAAATCATATTCCTATAACTTTTTCAGCAGTATACTGTCCTCCCCGGCCATGTATATCTCAGCTCCATTTAGACCAGTTCTTATTCTCATTAGGGCGTACATTTATCGCCGGGGGAGATTTCAACGCCAAACACCTCTTGTGGGCATGGCCGTATTCAGGGGGGGGGGGTTCCGGGTTCAAACCCCTCCGAAAATTCATCGAAACATATTTGTATTACCTTTCCTTTATGTCTTTTTTACCATTTTGTTTAAGATATGTATGTATTCCTGAAAATTATGTAAAAAAAAGAAAAATATTTTGATGTACGTTTTCTTTTAACTTTAAAGCCTAAAATATAATTAAATAATAATAAATACGTTATATTATCGTGAACGCCTGCTTAGGCTTATGGACACGCCAATGAATTTTAGTTTTTTCGAATTTCGATATATATATATATATATATATGTGTGTGTGTGTGTGTGTTTGTGTGTATATATATATACACAAAAATAATAGTCATTATCAGCGTCGGCGACAACGACAGGACACCGTAATCGTTTACTGCAGCGGTTCTCAAACTTGTTTGGTTCACGCATCCCTAAAAATAAAATAAAATAATCGCGCCTCCCATGAATAAATTAATTTGTAATTACTCGTACTAGTATGTTATCTTTTTGAAATTATCGTTGATCTAAATATATCAATATTTAGCTCGCGCCTCCCCTGTGTGCTTGGGCCTCCCTAGGGAAGCGCACCTCACAGTTTGGGAACCGCTGGTTTACTGGAATGATCTGTTATTAATTATTTCAACCTGCTAAAAAAGTCAAAACAAAATATCCAAAAATACCATTGTATTATTGTAAAGTAGAGATTCCAACGAAAAAAACCACAGTGATCTTTATAACCGAGATAAAAATTGGCCCGTATATATACAATTATATTCTGACATTTATCGACTACGCGTCGACCTCAACGTGTCAAATTTTTTTATTTGTATTTTGGACTCCTTACATCGCCGTTCACGGAACAATATTAAAACGTATTGATTCAAAACCAGTAAGTATTTTTACTACTATTTTCTACTTAATAATTGTAGTTTTGTTATTAGAATAATATCATAATTTATTTATTTTTTGTTTGGTTTTTTATTTTGTGAAAAATCTTTTTTAAAAACATGCTTTTCTAAAAAAAAATTATTAAAATAGTGAATTGTGAACTAAAATGTAAAAATGTATTTTTATTACAAGAACCATTTACCAATCAATTGTAGCATAAATAAAATATGCAAATTCTAAAAAAAAATTAAAAAAAAAAAAATTAAAAAAAACTTTTTTAAAAACATGCTTTTCTACAATAAATAGTAAAATAGTAAAAAGTGAATTCACTTTACAATTAGGAAGTAAAAAAAAATGTATTACAAGAACCATTTACCAATCAATTATAGCTTTTTTTTTTTTACAATTTCAATTACTTTGAAAACAACCGAAAATAACTACAATTTTAAATAATCTTATTATTTATATTTTTATTTAAAATTGTAGTTAATTTTCGGTTGTTTTCAAAGTAATTGAAATTGTAAATAAAATATGCTATAATTGATTGGTAAATGGTTCTTGTAATACATTTTTTTTTACTTTCTAGTACACTTTTTACTATTTTACTATTTTTTGTAGAAAAGCATGTTTTTAAAAAAGTTTTTTTTTATTAATTTTTTTAATTTTTTTTAGAATTTATTCGCTGACGATTCATGTACAAAAATGAAACGAGTTCAAAAGCAATTGAACATTACAGCATTTACCCAAAACAAAAAAAATAAAACAGACAATTCTGCTTCTGAAAATGTAGAACTACCCTCAGTTAGCAATAATGATACTCCTTCTATTTCCAATAATACACCCACAGCCGGAGTAAATGATATTGGTAATTATGTGCATAATAAAGAAATAGACGATTTAAAAAAAAAAGAACTTTTAAAGAACCCATGGGTACCCCATTCGACTTAAATATTTCCTGTAAAAACCAAAAGAAATTTACGGTTTCAATTATCTTGGATAAAACGATTTTCATGGCTAAGTTATTCACAAATTTTTGAAGGAGCATTTTGTACACCATGCGTTTTGTTTGCTCGAGAAAAAGGAGGTAAAGGTGGCCATCAACAATTAGGTGCTCTTGTTTCTAAAGAGTATGATAATTGGAAAAATGCTTTGCAAGATTTTCAATTACATGCTAGTACATCATATCATAAATTGTGTGTTGAAAAATCTAATAGTTTTTTAAAAGTAAATGAAGGAAGATCTAAAAAAATAATTGAACAACTGAGTATTGAACATTCTAGACAGATTGAACAAAATAGAAACATTTTACTTTCTGTTATAAAAACAATAATTCTTTGTAGTAAGCAAGAAATTGCTCTTCGTGGAACAAACAATTTTGGAAGTGTAATGAACGTAAATTCTTTTAATGACGGAAATTTCCGAGCACTTTTACGGTTTCGTGTAGATTCGGGTGATATTTTGCTAAAAGAACATTTAAACAATGGTCCAAAAAATTCTTTATATACGAGTCCTGGTATTCAAAATGAGATAATTTCTATTTGTGGTGACATTATCAAGTCAAAATTTGTCCAATGAGTCAATGCTGCTGAGTGCTTTTCTGTGTTAGCGGACGAAACTACAGATATTGGAAGGATTGAGCAAATGTCTGTATGTTTGCGTTATTATGACCAAGTTGATAAAAAAATTCGTGAAGACTTTCTAGAATTCACACCTGCTGTTGATCTAACAGGAAAAGGACTAGCAACCTTAATATTGGGCAGTTTGCAAAAAAACAGCATTAATTGTCAGTTTTTAGTTGGTCAAGGCTACGATGGTGCCTCTGCTATGAGTGGTCATTTACATGGTGCTCAAGAATACATAAGAAAAGACTTCCCCATGGCTCTCTATGTACACTGCAGTGCTCACTCACTCAATCTTGCGTTGGCAAACGCCAGCTCATTGCCCTCAATAAAAAATTGTAATGGCA